GAATCTTGGGATATATTTAGAGAGTTGATGGGAAAAGAGGGGTCAGAGAAAGACTAATCAAAGAAATAAGAGGATAGCCAAAATGAACTACAAGAGCAAAGAGAGAGGAGAACTTCATAGAGGGATTGATTTTTAGTTTGAAACAGTAGCAATATGAGGACTGAGAGAGGAAAATAAAACTGGATATGGTGATGATAAAGTCTCTGCTGACCTATGAAAGTGCAATGGAATATTTGTGGCAGAAACCAAATGATATGACTGGCAGAGAGGAAACAGAGACAGGTTTAAATCAATTTTTCACAAAGTTTAGACATTAAATAAAGGAGCAAATGATTACAGAATGGAAGGGAAAGTGAAGGGCTTTTTAAAAAATAGAAAACGTTAAGCTTGACTGAAGGCAAAAGAGCAGTAACCAGCAGGGAAGAGACAGTAGCAGTAACCTTGACACTATTCATTTGTTCATTTGTTCCTTCAGTACATATGTTGCATATTTCCTTGGTATCAGACACTGTGCAAGGAACTGGAAGTATAGCAGTGAATGAGAGAAATTAATTTCTGCTCCTGTGGTATATTCTCCTAGTATGTCTTTTTCACCTTTCTCTCTTTGTTACCAACTCCCTCCTAAGACCTCCTACCTCCCTTCCTCTCTTTAATAATGATTCTGCAGGTACAAATACTGAACCAAACTTATTAGCATCTACAATATCCACTGTTCTTTCTTGATGTGTGTCATTTTCTTTCTAAATGTGTTTCTGCATTTTAAAAGTTACAATGAATGAACTCTTCAAATGAAACAAAACCTTATGTACATAGGTCTTAATATTGTTTTCAAGAAAAAGTCAAAAGCTGAATAAATGAGAAGGTCCAAAGTGGCAGCATCATTGAGGAGTATTCCTTTTTCCATTTGATGATCAGCTGTACTGTTGCTTCCTGTTAAGAAAATCCTTTATTGTATAGCTGTAAGGTCTGCAGTGACATGACCTGCTTTAAATATAAAACACACTGAATAGTTATACAGTACAGGCAATAAATGCCTGTAGAGCCTAGACATAAGGAAAAGAGAGTCTTTGGAGATAACTGTGAGTGAGAAAGTCATTGGAGGATTTTGAGCAGAAGGGCATATGATATAACTTGCATTTTAAAAGGATCACTCTAGCTACTGTATGGAAGACAAACAGGGAGGTTGGGGGATGCCTCTAGTAGGGAGATCAGTTAGAGACCATTACATCAATTCAGGCAAGGAGATACAGACTTTGACCTGGGTGGTAATAGTGGAGATAGGGAGAAATGAACAGATTTTTGCCACATTTTTTTAAAGTCAAAGCAACAGAACTTGTTGACAAATGCAATAATGCAATATGAAAGGAGTCAAAGGAGTTTGGCGTTACCTCCCATCATGTTGGGCTCTCAGTATAGCACCAAAGTACTACTTACTGTGTCGAGAGCAATACTTGTTATAATGTCAGGCTTTCCCTTGGAGATTACTCACACATATGAAAGATGTGATGTCATAACTACAAGCTGTAAGCTACTGATTTAAAGTCATTGGGATTCATTCCACGTGAATTAGGTTAAACTTAGCCAGTATTAATTAAGTTGGAAAGGAAGGAGGACACCTTATCTTCTGATTTCAGAAGGAAACAGGAAAGGATTTGACTAGGAAAGGTAATTTGTGGTAGAGAAGAGTATAGATGAGTGAGTCAGTCTGGCTTGGGAATATGCATAGCCTGAAAGGTGCTGGCTAACAGGTTTGGTACAATGCAAGGCAAAGAGGGTATGCTGCCTAGAAATTTATATTGGATAGTGGCTATTCTCAGAGGAGTTATAGTCTTTTAGAGGAGGCAACATTAAATACTTGAAATAATTTAGAGAAAAAATGGTGTGCTGCAGTGGTTGCCAAACTTAATCATGTATCAGAATCACCTAGGGGACTTAAAAAAAATATACAGACTTTTGAGCCCCATTCCAGAAGCTTCAAGGACAGTCCAGGAATCTGTATTTTTTTAACAAATTTCCTATTGGTTTTGATTTAGTTTGCTCTCGGAACTGTACTGGAGAAACATTGGAATTTGGTAAATAATAAACTGAATATAATAAAAACCTGGAGGATGAGTTATCCAAAATGTATTCATGTATTTAACAAACCTGTCTAAGCATCTAATATATGCTAGATATTATGCTATTTTCTAGGGCTAAAGGATGAATAATACATGGTCCCTGCCCTTACACTCAGAGCCCAGAAGAAGAGATATCAGTAGATAAATAAGACAGTGTGCTTAGTGAAATGATAGAGGTGTGTAGGATGCTATGGAAGCAAATAGGAGGAGTGCAAAACGTGCTCTGGTTGATTTGGGCCCAGAAGGAAGGTAGGATCAGAAAGACTTAACTGAAGTGCCTGAGCTTTTTCATGACAGAAAACTTACTCCTTATAAGACCTCATACTGCTTTTTCTCATTGTTTTGCTTAGAAATCTTGCTAAAACGTGTGTTTTTTCTTCTTGGTTTAACTTTTTTATTGCTGACTTGGCATGATCACATATTATAAGTTATTTTTGCCATATAACAAAATAGTGATGCCTTCTATTGTAGTATACAAAATTAATTTCCATTATCCCAAATGGTCCTCAGCTGCTGTGACTGTGCTGTTTTAATTTTTCTGTCATACTGTCTTTGATGTCAGTCTGATAATTGTCTTCTTAATGTTAATGTGGCTGTTTATAGAGTAGCATATTTATTTAAATTTTTCCTTGGCCAAAAGGATTTGGACGAAAAAAATGTGAATAAGTAAAAGTGTAAAGCATTAAGTTGAATGTAGTATGTGAGTTTTAGTGCATTTTATGACATCTGTTTTAACTACTGATTTTGTTTTTTTAATTATGATGTCAAAGCCAGTAGATACTTTAGAAATCACATAATACAACTCTTTCATTTTATAGGCAAAGGAACTGAGGCTCCAAGATACCAAGGATAATCAGTGGCAATCAAGGAGTAGAATCTAGGCCTCCTGATATCAGAATAGTCCCATTCTATAAAAGCAGCAGTTCTTAATGAGGGGGTTACAGCAGAATCATTTGGAGAATTGTTCAAAATATACATGCCTAGTATTTAATCCCAAAGGTCCTGATTCAGTAAGACTGGCATGTATATTTCTTAAAAAAAAAATTAATTCTTGGAAGATGCCAATGTGTACTCAGGAACCAGCATACTTTAATCTGCTTGCCACATATCATAATTTGTTTCTGAATAGTTATACAGTACAGGCAATAAATGCCTGTAGAGCCTAGACATAAGGAAAAGAGAGTCTTTGGAGATAACTGTGAGTGAGAAAGTCATTGGAGGATTTTGAGCAAAAGGGCATATGATATAACTTGCATTTTAAAAGGATCACTCTAGCTACTGTATGGAAGACAAACAGGGAGGTTGGGGGATGTCTCTAGTAGGGAGATCAGTTAGAGACCATTACATCAATTCAGGCAAGGAGATACAGACTTTGACCTGGGTGGTAATAGTGGAGATAGGGAGAAATGAACAGATTTTTGCCACATTTTTTTAAAGTCAAAGCAACAGAACTTGTTGACAAATGCAATAATGCAATATGAAAGGAGTCAAGGATCAGTCTTAAGTTTTTGGCCCAAGTAACTGGAAGAATAAAACTGCCTTTTAGATGAAATTGCCACAAGAACAAGTATTGATAGAAAAGAAAAGAAACTGAAGAACTAAACCTTGAGACACATTAGCAATTAGAAATCAGAGAGAGAAGAAGAACCCAAATGGAAGCTGAAAAGCACTAGCCAATGAGATAGGAAGAAAACTAGAAGAGTGTGATATCCCAGAAGCCAGGTGAAAAAATATTGCAAGACACAAGAAGTGACTAGGTGGATCAAATGGTGGAGTAAAATGAAAACTGTTAATTGACCATTGGAGTTAGCAATGTGGAGGTCATTGGTGACCTTGACAAGGAGTAGTTCATTGGGGTCATTAGGGCATAAGTTTGATAGAAATGAGTTCAAAAGATAATGTGAAGAAAAGAATTACCACTAAGAATAGACAACTCTTTGGAAGACTTTTGCTGTGAAAAGGAAAAGGAAAGTGGCATGGTAGCTGGAAGAGGACTTGAGGTCAAGAGAAGGATTTTTTTTAGATGAGGAAAATTATGCCATGTTTGTATGCTGAGAATTGAATTGTGTGGTGAGGATTATCCAGCTGAGAAGGAAAATTTAATGATATAAGGGAGAGAGGGGAGAACTGGTAGAATTACATCTTTGAGCAAGAAACTGGGGATGGGATCTCATGCATAGAGAGAGGATTTAGCCTTAGGGACACAGGCAGCCTAAGAAAACAACAAGAAAGAAAGCAGATTATGTGGGCACAGATGGAGGAAGGTGGATAAATACAGGAAGAACAGGTTGTAGAAGTTCTTTTCTAATTGCTTCTGCAGTAGGAAGCAAAGTTAGTTGTGATTGAGGATGGGGAAGAGATACTGGAAGTTTAAAAAGAATAATAAGTATGAAATAGTTATCTGGAAGAGAAAAATGGTAAATTAACTGTGGAATTGATTAAAAGACAGCTCCAAAGGTACACTTAAATTTAGGAAGAATCCATTTATCTTGAATGCGTATTTTTCTGAGCTCCACATTCGGTTGCTGGGTTGTAGACATGGAAGAGGGCAAAAGGTAGATATAACCCAGAGTGGAATTTTGTCAGATGAATGCAATATGAGAGAGGGGCAAAGGAGTGACTGTAATGATGGATCATGGAATTTATGCTTAGTTAAGAGGGTGGTAAGGCTTTGGAAGTGGAACAGAGAGCTGTGAAAGATGTTAAGATCAATTAACCAAAAGGTCCTCTGGAGTAAAAATTATTAAAGTATTAAAGAGAGTAAGCTTAAAAGATAAGAAGTAGCGATCAGAAACTCAGAGTAAGATGCTGAAATGCTTTAAACTGGAATAAGGGTACTTACTAGTTTGTTTAGTGGCTATATTATTTTAATTGATTTGTTAGGTTCATGATTACAAAGAAGGAACCCCAGAAGAGAAGACCTACTACATAGAATTATGGGATGTTGGAGGCTCTGTGGGCAGTGCCAGCAGCGTGAAAAGCACAAGAGCAGTATTCTACAACTCTGTAAATGGTAAAGCATTTTTTAATTTCTATCTTATATTAATGATCTAAGAGTATAGATCATCTGATATGGAATGCCATAGCATGCCAGACTCATCTTAATTTGAGAAAGATGTAATGTACTCACAACCCTTGATTTAAATCTGCATAGTACATTCCAGTTTGTGTTTCTACATTGTAGCCATCTAATTTAATTCAGAACATTGAACCTGTGCTTTGTCTTAAGTGTTTCTATTTATATGATTGTCATAAACTAAATATTGAGAAATAAAATCATATTTTTGATACTTGACATAAAACATGGAACTTAAAATGTTGTCCTCTGGGTGCTATCTCTCCAGTGAGTTGACTAAGTACAGTAGGACCATAGGATTCTCATAGTCTTAAGCCAGATATCACAGAGATAGAGGGATTTTGTTCATTTGCCCCTTAGAAAGAGCCCTAAGGCTCTTTCTTAGCTACTTATGAAGAGCTGCTTAAGGGAGTCTTTATGGGTGCAGAAATTTTATCCAGTTATAAATATTCAAATACCTGGAGCAGACTTCCAGATGGAGGTGTGTAATATAGGACATAATTTCCTTTCATAGAGTACCTACTCTATATCAAGAGACTAAACTGCTTATACCTATGATTTGCCAATACAGTTTCTTTCTTAGTCTTCTTAAAAATTCATTTTTAAAATCTGTCTTTACTGTGAAACATAATTCCAACTTCTGTTTGATTAATATACCAAAGGAGTTGGCATTTCCCCCCTGGTAAATGCATAGCCATTAATAGACCTCATTTATGCTGTGCTTAGATCTCACTCAATATTAGGTAAGCGTTACATTTATTCAGTATGTTCATTCCTTATATTCCTCTTTTGATGTCTTCCCATATCATGAGGTGTTGTAGATTCTACAAAAAGACGTAGAGAAGGTTCTTTTCACTGGATACATATTATAGGATATAGAATGAGATGTGTCAGTTCAGACTCATATCCTATTTAGCTCAGAATTCTATCTGAAAATGTCACAGTCTTAATAAAGAAACAAAGCATTCATAAATGAGACAAAATACAGTTATAAGATGACCTTAATATATGCCATCATCGTGCAGAAAAGTATATATAATGGTATATATTAATAGAATGCATATAAATAAGAAAAACAATAATAAGACTAGTATAGTGTGAGGTGACCTCTTAGAGAAAGAGAGGGAAGTGAAACCTAGTTTAGACTTATACTTGTATCAGTAAAATTACTTGTCAAAGTAAGATATCTATCTGATCTGGCACAGAGAAGTCTGAATATATAACACCTTCAATGTTTGGGTATTTTTGAGACAGAAGTGTCTTTACTTCTCTCCCTTAAGATTAAGATATATTACCATTTGCCATAACCCTGACTCCTTTCATCTCAGCCCCGCCTTGGTTCTTCTAGCACATGTTCTGCAAAGCAAGAACTCTCAGCCCAAATGAAAGAGAAAGAATAGGGGAAAAGGGTACTCAAATGCCCTTAAAAGCTCAAAAGTCTTACCTAAAGATCCTCAATAAAGTTTTCCCTGTCCATCTAATAGCCAACTTAGGCCTTTGTAATCCTTTCACTCCCCCGTCCAAAATTCTCACCTGTAGTTTTGCCATGTTTATAACCTGGGGAAAAGAAAAGGCAGAAAATATATGCCAGTTGTTTGCCCTAAAATGAGATTTTATTCTGCTTACCACTAGTCTTTATGTCTTTACTGTCAGATTACCTGTGTGCAAATTCTGACTTATCATGTGCCCAAGGGCAAGTTACTCAACTTCTCTGAACTTCAGTTTTCTCTTGCGTATAAAGATAATAATAATTCTTGCTTCATAGGACTGTTCTGAAAATTAAATTAGGTAACACATGTAAAGCACAATATTTGGCACATAAGTACTGAATAAATATTAGCTGTGGTCTTTAATGGTAGTTCTTTATTCCTTTTTTTAAATCTATGCCACCGATGCTGATTAAAACCCCTCATTGAGGAAGGAAGAGTGGGTACAGTTGGATATTAGGGCAAGTGTCAGATCTCTATTAGTTTCAGACACCAGAAGAGATGCAGGTTTATCTAAGCTGGCTGGAACAACTCAACTATAGCTTGTACAAGCCCTTTAGTTACACAGATGGCTGTAAAAACTGTAGAAGCCAGCTAATTCTACCTATTCTGCTTTTCTTTTTCAAATTGACACATACCACCTCTTGAAGATGGAGGGATCATTGGTTTCATGTCCTATTCACAATCTGGGTAATATAGAAAAGGGTTGGGAGTTTGAAACCTATAGTGTTTTGACCATAAGATGATATCCTAAATTCTAGTGGGCATCAAAGGTTTTTCTCTTTTGTCTATATCTTGCTGTAATAATTAATTCCTGGATTTACCTTTCTATCTAGGATTTTAATTGATTCTATTCAGTTGTATTTTATTGTATTTCTGGGCCTCATTACATTTTGTTATTTTTCTCAGTCTATCGAAATCCATGCATGTACTTTCTACTATTCATACTTCTTTACTATTTAATGTCTCCACCCACTCTCTTGTAGTGGCATATTTCTTTTGCTCTCATAACTAAATCTCTTACAGGTAGGAAGCTTACATGACTAAACATTATTCAAAGAACTAGAAAATTAGACATTTGAGTAGATTAGCCTCAGGTGATCTACAGGACACTATTTTGTCAGCTAAAGAATAGCAATTGTATCATATCAGTACTATTTTAGTAGATTTTCATTACTTAGTATTATTTTTAGTGAGTATAAGTAATGAGTATAAATAATATATGTATGTACTGGTATCTATGGCAGTACTATGTACAGTGAAGAAACAACATAGCTTTTTGGATGAATAATTTCATATGTACTTGAAGTAGTTTTGATTCTCTTGATTAATGAAGTGGTTCTACAAGTAGGAACAGGCATGGAGTAGGCACTCAAAAAGTGTTGAATGAAGTAAAGATCTGCTAAAAGTTTAATGGCATTTCGTCAGCCCTTGTAAAATAAAGAGTTATAAAACTGACAGAGAAAAGTTTATGGCTAATTATTTATAAATATTTGTAGAGGAAATTTTAAAATAGTTGTGTCTGAGTTAGTCATACTAGAATGCTAGATTCATTAAGCAACCTAATGCTTCTATTTACTAAGCTTCATTTGGCCAATTGTGAAATGAAGAGGAATTGTTAAGGGACTAACATTTTTTTCTCTGATTATTTTAGGTATTATTTTCGTACACGACTTAACAAATAAGAAGTCCTCCCAAAACTTGCGTCGTTGGTCATTGGAAGCTCTCAACAGGGATTTGGTGCCCACTGGGGTCTTGGTAACAAATGGGTAAGCCCAGAATTATTTCACAATTGGTTTGAAAGGTTGCAGCAATCACAGGAATGTACTCCCCTGCGTAACACTTTGTAAGATGTTTGATTTGCAAAGATTTTTCTTTCAGTGTATAGATTATCTTTTCCTTTTAACAGTATCTTTCACAAAGCAATAGTTTTAATTTTGATGAAGTCTGATTACTCTTTTTTTCTTCTGTGGATTGTGCTTTTGATATCATGTCTAAGAACTCTTTGCCTAATCCTAGATGATGCAGGTTTTCTCTTATGTTTTCCTCTACAGATTGTATGGTTTAACATTTTTATAGTAAACCATTTATATAAAACATTTTAAGTTTTCTAAGTTTACATTTAGATTCATGATCTGTTTTAAGTTAGTTTTGTACAAGATGTGAGGTTTTGGTTGAGGTTAATGTTTGCATATGAATGTCTAATTATTCCAGCACCATTTATTGAAAAGATATCCTTTCTCCACTGAATTGCTGTTGCTCCTTTGCCAAAAATCAGTTGACCATATTAGTATGAGTCTATTTCTGTACTCTAGTTCTGTTCCATTGATCTATGTGTCTCTCCCTTCACCAGTACTACACTGTCTTGATTATAGTCTTAAAATTGAGCAGTATGATTCCTTCTACTTTATTCTTTTTCATAATTGTTTAGCTATTATAGTTTCGTTTTCCACATAAATTTTGAGAATCAGCTTGTCTATATTGACAAAAATTTTGGTTGGACTTTTATTAGAAATGCATTAAACCTATTGATCACATTGGAGAGAATTAATATCTTTATTCTGTTGCATCTTCCAGTTCATGAACACAATGTATCTCTAAATTTATTTAGATCTTCTTTTATTTCTCTTATCAGCATTTTGTAGCTTTCATCATACAAATCCTGTGCATGTTTTATTAGATTTATACCAAATTATTTAATATTTTTGAAGCTATTATAAATTGGTTTTTGTTTTGTTTTGTTTTGAGACTGAGCCTTGCTCTATTGCCCAGGCTGGAGTGCAGTAGCACGATCTCAGTTCACTGCAACCTTTGTCTCCCAGGTTCAAGCAGTTGTGCCTCAGCCTCCCAAGTAGCTGGGATTACAGGCATGTGCCACTACACCTGGCTGATTTTTGTATTTTTGGCAGAGACAGGGTTTCACCATCTTGGCCAGGCTGATCTCGAACTCCTGATCTCAGGTGATCCACCTGAAAGTGCTGGGTTACAGGCATGAGCCACTGTACCTGGCCATAAATGGTATATTTAAACTTCAGTTTCAAATTGTCCATTGCTAGTATAAAAAAGCAGAATTGATTTTGAGTGCTGACCTGTATCCTGTGACCGGAGTTTTTAGTAAAATCCTTAGGATGCTCTACATAGACAAGTTTATTTTTTCTTTTTCAATCTGTGTGCTTGTTGTCTTATTTCTTGCCTTATCACACTGGCAGCAACTTCCAAAAGGGTACTAACTGGGTGTGATAAGAGTGAATATCTATGTGTTATTCACAATCTTAGGGGGAAAGCAGTCATTTCACTATTAAGTATGATGTAAGCTTTAGGTTTTTTGGTTGACACCATTTATCAGGTTGAGAAAATTTCATTATATCCCTAATTTGCTGATAGTTTTATTAATATCATGAACAGATACTGAATTCTGTCAAAAGCCTTTTCTGCATCAATTGATATGGACGTGTGGCTGCTTCTTTCGGTGTTAGTATGGTGGATTACATTCACTGATTTTCAATATTGGTGGATTACATTCACTGATTTTCAAATATTGAACCAGCCTTCCGTTCCTTGGTCATGGTATATTACTCATTTTATATGTTGCTGGATTTGATTTGCTAATATTTTCTTCAGGATTTTTATCCATGACAAGCGTTAGTGTGTAGTTTTCTGTTCTCATAATGTCTTTGACTGGTTTTAGTGTGAGGATAATGTTGGCCCCATAGAATGAATTGGAAGTATTCCTTCCTCTTCTATTTTTTAGGAGAAATTGCGTATATTTGGTGTTATTTCTTCTTTGAAGGTTTGGCAGAATTTACCAAGAGACCATCTGGGCCTGGAGGTTTCTTATTTGAAAGGTTTTTAACCACAAAATCAACTTCTTTAGTAATAGGATTGTTCAAGTTATCTATTTCATCTTGGATGAGTTTTGGTAGTTTGTGATTTTCAAGGAATTCATCTATTTCATTAAATTTTTGAATTTATATCAATAGAGTTGTTTATAGTATTTGTTTATAGGCCTTTTGATAGTTTCACGGTTTGTAGTGATATGACCTTTTTCATTCTGATTTTGGTATTTTATGTTTCTCTTTTTCTTGTCAGACTTGTAGAGGTTTATCAATTGTATTGATTTTTTTTTTTCCAAAGAAGCAACTTTTGGCTTCATTGATTTTTCTCTATTGTTTTTCCGTATAGAGTTTAATTGATTTCTGCTCTTATTTCTTTCCTACTGCTTGCTTTTGCTTTATTTTGTTCTCTCTTTATAGCTTCTTAGATTACTGATTGGATACCTTGCATTTTTGCTAATGCAAGCATTTTAATGCTATAAATTTCCTTCTAAACACTGCTTTAGCTGCATCCTGCAAATGTTTGAATGTTTTACTTTTATTTTCATTTAGTTCACAATATTTTCTAATACTTCTTGAGATTTTCCCATGGGCTGTTTAGAAATGTGTTATTTAGTTTCCATGTATTTAGAGGCTTTCAAGTTATTCTTTACTATTGACTTCTAGCTTAATTTTATCATGATCTAAGAGCATACTTTATATGGTTTCACTTATTTTATATTTGTGCAACACCCGGTATGTGACTTGGGTGTTATCTCTGTTGTTTCAGTTTTCAGTGTCTTTGGTATGCTAAGGAGGATCAAATCCATGCATGCACAGCTTTGACAATGAGCTCAGGCATTCATGAACTACTTCATGGGGTTGCTTTCTCACACTTCACCCTCTCTGCAGTCTCTGCCATACTTTGTGATTTGCTGGGGCTCCCTTTTTTGGTCCCCAAGCCAAATTTTCTCATGCACTTGCACAACTGCACCTATGTCCCCAGGGCCAAGTGGTAGAAGGACAAAGAATAAAAGCAATGGGAATTTGCCCCACCATCTTGAGATACAGTTCTGTCAATCGGAAAAATTTCCCTTCCTCTGTACTCATAAGCAGGGGTTCCCAACCCCTGGTCCATGGCCTGTTAGGAACCAGGCCACACAGTGAGAGGTGGGTGGCAGGTTAGTGGGCATTACCACCTCCTGTCAGATCGACAGAGGCGTTAGATTCTCATAGGAGCATGAATCCTATTGTGAACTGTGCGTGTGAGGGATCTAGGTTGCAGGCTCCTTATGAGAATCTAATGCCTGGTGATCTGAGGTGGAACAGCTTCATCCTGAAACACCTGTCCATGGAAAAATTGTCTTCCATGAAACCAGTCCCTGGTACCAACAAGGTTGGGGACTGTTGTTGCTTTTGAGCATTCTGCTTGTGTTACCGCCTTTGCCACAACTATCATGAAATTGCTCAGAGGCTGGCTTACAACAGAAGGAAAAATATTGTATTTCTACGCTATCTCCAAGTATTCGGGAGCCCCCTTTCTTGTTTCATGAGCCAGAACTGCAGGCCGCCTTCTGGAGTTTTCTGTTCGCACTTCTGAGTTTTAAGCTGAGTTGCATTCAGACAAGGGGATATGGAAGGGAACTGCTAATTCAATGGTTCTTCACATTGCGGTCTTCCTCAAGATGCTCACTATGAATTTTTCAGAGTCTTCAAATAGCCACTTCATGCATCCTGTCCAGGTTTTTTAGCTGCATTCACTGGGAAAGACAAAATAGAGTTTGCTTATTCTGTCTTACCTAGAACAGAACCCCATTTTCTATTTTTTGATTGAAGCAAGTCTTTCAAAGACTTTGTTTTCTGTGTGGAAGTCTAATTGTTATGTGAAACCTAAATGTAATATAAGTTTGAGTATATATATGTAGATTCCTGCAATACCTAATAAAGAATAAGCACAACTAATTTAAAACCTATATTTCAAAGCCTAGTTGATATTTCTTGTTTCCTATCTCAATTCCTTTCATCACTGATGTCTTCATTAACCTAGCTTGTTCTCTATTTTCTACTAAAATTTCTACTTAAGAAACTTATCTTTAAATTTAGGATTAGGAGACAGCATATTCATATCAGAATGAAATCGGTATTTATGTGAGGGAATTCAGTAAAAATTCTGTACCCATTTGCATTTTGACAGTACAGCTTCATTTTGATCCTATAGATAAACCTGCAAATGTATAAAACAACCTTAATACATTGGTGTGCTTTGTTGGTGCATTATTTTATAGCATCAAAAGATTTGGAAACAACCCTAGTGTCCGAGCAACAAAAGATTCATAGACTAAATAATGACATATCCACATACTGGAGTAGTATTCAACATTTGAAAAATAATCAGGAAGATCTCTATGAACTAAATTAGAAAGATCTACAAAGGGTACATTATTAGGTTTAACAAATCAAAATGCAGAGAATATATATCATATACCTTCTATTGTGTAAGAAAGGAAAGAAATAAGAATATATTTGGATAAAGAATCAGTGAAAAGATAAATAAGAAACTAACAAAAATGATAACCTATAGGGGGCCAGGGGAAATGGGTGGATGGGTGCAGTGGTAGGAGCAAGACTGCTTAGCATATATATCTTTTATATCAGATTGAGTTTTTAGCCATATTTAAACAATTTAGATAAATGTTATGTGGTTTTTACCACAATAAATTTTAATTTTTTATTATAGAAAATTTTAAACGTATGTAAATACGAAGAATGGAAAATGAATTCCCATATACCTGTCACCTAGTTTCAACAATTATCAACATATAGCCAGTCTTGTTTCATCCATATCTCTACCTACTTTCTATCTTCTCCCACTCTCAACTGGATTATTTTGAACCAAATGTTAAAACATCCTATCACTTCATCCATATATACTTCAAAACATAAGGGCTTTTTTTTTTTTTTTTAACATGACAGCATATAATTATCACAGCCAAAACTTTAATAATAATTCTTTAATAACCAAATATTATTTTAATTTCCCCAATTGTCTCATAAATGTTGTAGTTGATTTTTTTGAAACAGTATCTAAATAAAGTCCTCTGATTGTATTTCATTTCTTAAGAGTCAAATCTTAGGTTCTCCCTTCTTAGTTGTTTTTTTTCCAACCTCCTAGCAGTTTATTTGTAGAAGATGGCTGTTTGTCTTGTACAGTTTCCTATATTCTGGATTTGCTGATTGTCTCCCTGTATTGTCTTTTAAACTTGTTTCTCTGAATTCTAAATCTTCTCTAAAGTGATAATTAAATATAGTGATCTGAAAGATGCAAGTTTTTTGTCTTTATTTTTCCACCCAGTATTACGCATATAATATGATACCTGGCTGTGTGTCTCTCTGTGATGTTAAGGAGTTATCAGCCTTATCCATCCATGATAAAGTCCTTCAGAAGGTTACCAGAAAAGATTTCAAGATTAAATTTTAAATTGGATGCTGCAAGATTTTATGAAAAAGATAAAAGGAAACCTAAAAAGAGAAATAAGAGAGCAAACTATATATGTATGCTTTATATGTGTCAATGTGCAAGGAATTGTGCAAGACTATGTGAGAGATGTATGTACATCAAAGATGGTATTTGATAGAAGATATGCAAAAATTTGTATGTGAGACAGAAGGAAACAGTCCTAAACAAAAGACACGCTCAAAACTTTATTCCCTAACAAAGCGAATTGCAGCTTTGAACCATGTCTCTTTAATTAGGGTTGCTGTTGGTATGAATAATCAAAGGTCTTGATCATGCTATTATTGACTTTGATGCAATAAATAGAATGGTAATATTTTTGTGAGATGGGAGGTTATATATTTAAAACAGTTGTGTTCTGAGGCTGAACAGTTTGTTGAGGCTCTGTAAGATTATTGTGAAGGACATAAATACTTAGTAACTTTCCCCCTTACCCCAATTTAGAATTTCTCTAAGAGAAAGAAAAGGTAGTGTTAAAGGAAGAAAAAAAGCTTTGCTCAACTGGGTTATAGTGATTGGATTATGCAATATTGATTTACTGTCATAAATTGTGCACAACCAGATTTTGCTGACTGTTGTAAATTGAGCTTATGACGTGTCAGAAATCCAAATCTGCTTTATTTCTAATATGTGAGTAGAATTTAAATTAATTCAACAGCAATGGCCTCTGTGTTCTTTTCAGTAATGAAAAGTTTAATTTACATCACCACTCTGTTCTTTGGATAAATAATTTTTTTAAAAAATAAGGATTATAATAGCCAGTGATCCAAGGCCACTAACCCTAAGTGATTCTTATTGCCCGTCCTCTATCTCCCATGGCTCTCATTTCAGGAAACAACTACTTGGTACTAAGTTCTTTCCTTTTACTATTCATTTTGCATTTCAGCTGTTTCCTTCCATTTCCATGTGTTTAACCCACCTTTCTCAGGCTATAGTATCACCTATATTTGATTTATTCTGGGTTTCAGCTTCCTTATTTCTATTTTCTTATTCTTCTTATTTCTTTACTATTCAGACAGAAATGTGTATTGTAGATACAGAGCTAATGCATACCCCAAAAGGTACCCAAGAAGCTTGCCATTTTGTCTTGCAGCACACCATGCTAGGCTTTTGGGTTTTCTCTACACAGAGACTGAAATCCACTCTCTGCTTCTACTCTGAAACATTCCTGAGTTGTTATGTTAGCCTTAGAAGACAGAGCTACATTGGAAGTCAAGTCCACTGACTATAATATACTTGATGGGCACTTAGTTGTTCAATTATTCAGTATTATTCAACATTCAATAAAAACATGGGACCAAATTTTGAGAAGTTAGATGAATAGCTGGAATTTGATAGATGATGAGGATGGATTGATAAAAGAACAAGTAGATGGAAGAAGTTGGAAGGAAAGTGGATTTATAGGTGAAGGCAGCAAAAATCAGTTAATTTTCAGTAAAATAGTTTAAGTTAGTTGCATTTAAATATTACACATCTACATCAGAAAGGTAAATTCTCTTCACCTCTTCATTATTATTTATCACAGGGATTATGATCGAGAACAGTTTGCTGATAACCAAATACCGCTGTTGGTAATAGGGACTAAGCTGGACCAGATTCATGAAACAAAGCGCCATGAAGTTTTAACTAGGACTGCTTTCCTGGCTGAGGATTTCAATCCAGAAGAAATTAATTTGGTGTGTATTTTCACTAATGCATGCTTGTATTATTATCACGTAAAGACAAAACTAAAGACATGTTCAAATTATATATTCTAGTGAAAGAAACTTTATACTTGAAATCAGGCTTTTTGGATTCTAGTCCAAAATGTAGTCAAGATTGGAATCAACATATCTAGACTGAGAGATGTGCACAGTCACTTCAGCCTTTTATGTTGATCTGTTGGAATGTTCCAACTTTATTCTATGAATAATTTAAATCATGGGCTTCTTTTTTTGAGACAGTCTCGCTCTGTCGCCCAGACTGGAGTGCAGTGGCGTGATCTCAGCTCACTGCAAACTCTACCTACTGGGTTCAAGCAATTATCATGCCTAGGCCACCCGAGTAGCTGGGTTTACAGGCATATACCACCATGTCCAGCTAATTTTTAAAATATTTTTAGTAGTGATGGGGTTTTGCCATGTTGCCCAGGCTAGTCTTGAACTCCTGACTGCCAGGGATTTGCCCGCCTTGACCTCCCAAAGTGCTGGGATTACAGGCGTGAGCCACTGCACCTGGTCCATGGACTTTTTCTTGAGAAAGTTTTTAAAAATCACACCAAAATTAAAATAAATTGATTAAAGTGGCATTATAAGTTTATTATTATTGCTTGTAAAAAGCCTCTTAGCTTCTTAAACTACAAATTTTACCTTAAAGGGCAACCTAACAGATACATGAAAAAATTACAAACTTTAAACTAGGAGTGCTTCATAAGGACTAATTTATGTACACTTATGCATATATAGAGGATTGAGTCCCTTGATAAGATAACTAGCTCAATTAGAACTGAGTGCTTAAAAAAGCTAAGAAATGGTTGTCATGTAAGCCTGTTAGGATCCCAGAAAAAGATCCTGGCCAGCAACTTCAGTCATGGTCATGTTGTTCACAAATAGGATTTCTGCAACTGTGCACTGGCATTCCAGAAATGCAGTGGTGGTGGTGCAATAGTACTAGTGACCAACATTTGTTGAGCACTTAGGGGTTGAAAACTGTTTTAGTTATTTACATATATGATCTCACATGCATCATCTTCACAATCAACTCTATAAGACAGATACTATTACTGTCCTCTTCTTAATGATGAAGACAAGAAGGAGAGAGGTAACAAGACCAAGGAAGGTTACCCAGGTCAAATGGGGTATTCAGATTCAGAGCCTGTGCTCTACAGTTAAGCCTCTTTTCCACTTAATTAATCCTTCAACTCACCTTGAGAATTTGGCGGCTGAAAAATCTCGTAGAAATCATCTAGACCAACAGTTACCCAAATCGGATTGTGTATTTATATTACCAATAGTACCTATGGAAAATTTTGAATAACTGCCCCACAGCTGGAGCTTTTTATTCATAAAGCCTGGCAGGAGGACCAGGAATCTGTAGTTCTAACAAATAACTCAGGTGATTCTGATGCCTTGTTCTGTGAATCAACGTTTGTAAACACTGCTTGGTTCAGCCCCACCTCTACCCCCAGCTTCTGCCTGTCATTCCATTGTTTTTTACATTCTGCTTTGCAGTGGAGAGCCCCTTATTTTTCTCAGCTGCCACAATGGAATATTGATGGGCATACCCCAGGTAGTCAGCACTGAACCATGATATTCCAAAGGATTCTTGCTATATAGATATACAATATTCTTGTTGAAGAAGTGCTGAGATTACTTTGAACATTATTTCCAAAGGGAAATTTACCATTGAAAACACTTAATTTGTTCCAGTGCTTACTTTTAATATATTTTAGAATGTATCTGTTTCTAGTGCTTGTGGGTTTCTGTGATAATTGCCTGTGTGTCTGTGTGTGTGTGTTATTCCTACTTGCCTTACAAAGCCAAGGCCTTGTTTTAACTGTAAGTCAGATGTAAAGGTACTCAGTTAGTGAGACTTCAGCACACACAGTCCCCAAAGAGTTCAAATATAACATGTTTTTGGCCTTTATCAGTGTACAGCTTCGAGAACACAGCACAAATAAGACTAGGAGAGGTTCGGAGAATGAAGGGAGGAAAAAATGAGGAAGAAGATTGAATATGAGAGTTTCAAAAAGAAATAGCCATCAAAAAGATTCAGCAATTAAATATAAAGCCTCAAATAAAAACTAATGTAACAATATTAGTGCTAACATCAGTTACTGTATAAATTTACTTGAAACTGTAGAAAGGTAAGAATTAACAAATGTATACATCAAAGGTGGAATCAAAGTTAATAAATAACTGCCTGAATAAATGCAAATTGTTTAAATTATAAATAGGTGAACGATTACTTATTTTCTAAAATCCTGTTAGGCTTATTGTACCCTGTAAAAAATTTTCTCTGTTATGTATTTACTTTGAAGTGATCATATTGAAGTATCTTCCCTGGTTAATAGTCCTTTCTCAAGCTCAGACAAGCTATTTGGAGCTATTAATTTTCAGACTTTTCCCTCAGCTATGATAAATGGCAGATGACTCTTTCAGCTCTAAATTTCTCATCCCAAAAATCATAGTGTTTCTCTAGGCTGCTCAACCTGAAATTATGGTACCATAGAATTAAGGTTTTGGGGGTGTGTTTTTGTTTGCTTTAGTTTTTGTATATAGTACTTCAGCTCTATTTAGAATTGTCTCAAACTTTTGACATTCTGATGACTAGCTAATCAATATCTATTTTATAAAACGTTTCTACCACAGGTCTAAGATTTGTCTCTTATATGCCCCAATTGCTGTAGAAATGTGTTCAAACACTATTTCAAATACCATAGTTTGTGCAATGATGTTTCAGTCTATGTAATCCATATGTGGAATTATCTTTATTATGGTAAGTGCTTGTTGTGCTTGAAAATTCACTCTGCTAGCATTTTCTTAGATTGAAGAGAGAAGGACTAATGTTCTACTACCCACTGTATCCAGGTATGGATTATTTAATTTTTCACAAAAATCCCATCAGATAAAATATTGTTATCCCCATTCCACAAATCAGTAAGCCCAAATTTAAAGGTTTAGTTACCTAACCAATGTTACACAGAGTAGAAATGTTGGAATAGGTATTCCGATTTAGAGCTTGCTGGCTTTGAAGACCCCTGATTTCTAGTACTCTGTGATCTTTGACAACTTTGTTGTAGCCTCTCTTTTTTGTAGTTTTGGAGAATGTATTATAATTTCTGGCCAAAATTTAAAATGTGAGCCTTGGAATGTTGCATATGAATAAAATAGGAGGCTTCATTAGAAAGGAATCCTGTGGGCCTGGAGATTACAAAAACAGAATAAATGTAACAACAGTAATTTTAGTAATTTCTAGGGGCACAGAGGGTGTATAGCTAAAAGATAAAATTTCATGCTTGCAAAGGAGCTTACATGGTAGCCCTTATAGTTTGGTCTTAGGTACATTTCAGGTAAAAATCAAAGTACTCTATCTCACAAGGTGACAAGTCAAGAGTGACAAGCAAAAAACAAAACAGCTACACTGGGATTCCATCGAATAGTAGGCCTTTTAAGGTTTTAAAGTTATTGTAATGATTAATGTTCCAGATTGTTCTGTCCCTTCTGGGCCCATTTTTTTTCCCTATAAAAAACTTCCATCCAAGAGTAGTAATATATCTTTATTATCAAACGATAGTAGTAGATGTTTATTACCAAAAATAATATATGTTTGTGGCCTACCAAAAGATGTAGTACCTTGCATCCAAAGAGAAACCCTTGGCAATTTTTCTGTTTGTTCTTTGCGCCTCTAAATCCTTATTTTCATGCTTTCTGCAGTTCATATGAACTGCATGGTACTAAATTAGTTGAGCACTGGTGAATAACGAGTACAAAAGTGAAACGCTTACTGTTTTTCATGGCTGTCTCTCTGGTTTTCAGGGTAAATGTAGGTAGGTCACTCCATTAGTACCTTGGTTTTGTTATTAGTAAAATATTAGTAATCTTGTCTTCCTCTGTGAATTATTTGATGATGAATACATTGATTTGATATACTCTAAAATTGTTTAAATGACAAAGATTAAGTGACCGTATTTTCCTTTAGTACTTTCCTCCTTGCTTTGTGCACCATAATTTGAAAATTATTTGAATATTTTACGAGAGTATTATACCTAACAGTATTATGCCTATAGAAATGTGCAACAGGATGAGTTATGAATAGCAAAGAGCTTGGGTTTCCTAACTTTTACTTGTGGATCTTATGTTTTATCTTCTAGGACTGCACAAATCCACGGTACTTAGCTGCAGGTTCTTCCAATGCTGTCAAGCTCAGTAGGTTTTTTGATAAGGTAATGGCTTCAATTAAGTTATTTTTAAACTTAATTTATATATTATGAGAGTTTAAAATTTTTTTGTAGAATCCTGTGACCCTTTATTTTTTTTTTGTCCAAAATTTCACAGCCTGACTAATACTTGTTTTGGTCTCTCTTATCTGTTGGTATAATTGCCCAAGGCCTGCTGACATATTTATTCCATCACCAGTGTTCTCTAAGTAAAGGGTAAAAGCTACTGGATTTAAATGGGGGTTTTAAAAAGATATCTAATTCCTCTCCTTAAAATAATTTCTATTTACCCATTTTCTAGCTCTTTTTTTCACTTATTCACCCTCCCACCCACATAAAGGCACTGAACTGAGGAGATTCTGCTTAAAGCCCTGAGTTCTTTTTGCTCTCCCAGCTGTTAATATTCTCCACATAAATGTTACTGTTACCTTTTAAGGTAATGTCGTCGTCTAGATTTCCTAGTGTTTCCCTCTCAGAAATATTTGCATTCCAATTATTGACTCTCTGCTAACATCATTTTATTGTCCTCAACTGGAAGGAAAATGTAGAATGACTCAGCATACTGGTAAATTTGAGCACTGTTTGTCTTTCCTTCACAAGGCCATACAACTGCATTGCACATAGTATTGACCAAGTTTAAGTCGTTTGCCCAATGCTGACATTGCATAGTAAGGTAAAATAGGATCTTTCTGCCTGTATTATTGAAAAAGGTTAACTCCTGTGTTATATTTCTTTTTAAGTGACATCTCCTAAGAAAATCATCTTCCCCATAGCTCTTCTTTAGCAATCATTTTTTTCTTTTAACTGTTTAGGGATTTAATATTTGGCCGTTTTGTTCAGCATTAGATAAGCCCCAGGTTTAGTTAATTTGGGATTTAATATTCGGCCTTTTTGTCAGCATTAGATAAGCTCCAGTACCCTCCTCGATTAATATTAGGCCACTAGGAAAATTTTGCCTCACTGCAAAACTTCTTAACTGGTATGTGGCAAATAGGGTACAGATGTGCCTAGATACTGATTTCCCTCAATTCTCAGAGCAGCCAGAGCCCTCAGGGTGGGGGGTTGGGTGATTGGTAGCCTCTTCCATTTTCCCCAGTGTGCTGTGCAAATATCAGCATTTTCTACGTGTGCCATGACATGAAAAATGTTGTGCAGCACTGCAAGGAGCCAGATTTTCTCTCCACATTGCTTTCAAACTTAAAATGTAAGAATTTCCATTTGGTTTAGATCCGTGGCCGCATCAATACAAAATTTGTCCCCTATGAGCAACATCTTACAGATCTGCCCTGACCTGGGAAGATCCCACAGTATGTTGTTTAAATTTAAATTTTTATTAGTTCTAAAATTAAAAAATAAGATATACTAAATTACATCCTAGAGAAACTGGATTATTGACTGGTATAATCCAAGTTGTCAGGCAAGGCTTTATTTTTTAAAAAATCAGGAGTACACGCTGCAAGTCAGGGGTAAAGAATTATGACCAAAACCAAAAAGGTAACTTCTCTTTTTATTGCCTGAATCACAACAAAATGTGTGTGGGTTAGGAGGTTGGCCAGACCTCCAGACTGAGGTGGTTGCCTGAAATCAAAGGAGCTGACAACCAAATTTCACCCAGTTTCTATACATCAGTTCTTCCAGAATTTAGCATAAAGATTTCTTCTCCTTCTAGGCACAGTGCCTCACGCCTGTAATCCCAACACTTTGGGAGGCCGAGGCGGGCGGATCACAAGGTCAGGAGATTGAGACCATCCTGGCTAGCACAGTGAAACCCCATCTCTACTAAAAACACAAAAAATTAGCTGGGCGCGGTGGTGGGCACCTGTAGTCCCAGCTACTCGGGAGGCTGAGGCAGGAGAATGGTGTGAACCCGGGAGGCGGAGCTTGCAGTGAGCCGAGTTCGTGCCACTGCCCTCCAGCAGCCTGGGTGACAGAGCAAGACTCCATCTCAAAAAAAAAAAAAAAAAAAAATTTCTTCTCCAAAAGGAAGTCTAACTCCTTCTAATAGTAACTCCTCACACTCCAGAATAATCAGATTTTCCTGTCCTACCATAGACAGGAAAGGGAATCAGTCTCCTTCTTGGTTTTTGTGGGATTGTTTTAAGATGTACACTAATGATAAACCAACTTTTCTACCTCTGGGGTAAGTGAATGCAACTTTGCCCTGGTGTCTTGTGGCTAAAAATAATCCAGCTATAGTCTTTAAGACAGCAAGAATCTGAATGAATCGCTGTCGTACCAGAGAGAGCAAGCTGGCCTTGGCCTTAGAAGAACATGCTCTGTCTAATTCAGAGGAACTCTTAGCTGCGTAATTTCAGATTTGAATGTCTTAGAGTTCATCTCCAGCTGATCTGTATCATTATCCGATTAACTTTTCTTATCACAGCAGGTCTGTGTAAAGGAATACAGATACTCCTCAACTTGCGATAGGGTTGTATTTCAGTAAACCCCATGTAAATTGGAAATGTTGTTAGTCAAAAATACATTGATTACACCTAACTTACCAAGCATCAGAGCTTAGCCTAGCCTTCCTTAAACATGCTCAGAACACTTACGTTAGCCTACAGTTGGGCAGAATCATCTAACACAAGCCTATTTTATTAAAAAGTTGTGAATGACTCATGTAATTTATTGAATACTATACTGAAAGTGAAAAAAATGCCTATTGTATGGGCACTCAAAGTACAGTTTCTACTGAATGCATGTTGCTTTCACACCACCATAAAGTCAAAAAATCGTAGTCAAGCCATCCTAAATCAGAGACATTTATAATACTTCCTCTGTAACCACTGCAGTTTCTGAAGTGTCAGAACAGAATTTATTTTTCTTGAAAATGTTTTTCATCATCTGAAAACATAGTGCTCTTTAGTGTTCACAGCAGTTTGGGGAAAAAAAATGAAAACATGGTGTTCTTAAACTCATTACATTTGAACATATATTTTGAGGGTTTCTTTTCAATAATGGTGATGGATTTGTACAGGTACATCTGCTTGAACTTGTTTTTTCTACAGCAGTCATTAGACTGCTTTTGATGTTGTGTCATCTGTCTATATTGAGGACATATAGAATTTTTCACCACTTACTATAGGGATGTGGTGGTTTGCTATGTTAAACAGTCCCCTCTTTAAGAAATAGACAAGACTATTGTAGCAGGCAAGTGCTTTTTTTATCTTATGGATTCTGGTTAGTACCTTTTGGGACTGACTGCTAGGAAACTTAGAGTCAGATTTGCTGCCATACTCTAAGAATTGCATGGGTTCTTATGTCATTCTGTCATTATTTAGTTTCTGTTATTTATTTATTTTTTGATCTATCATTAATGCGTTTTGGAATGAGGCAGGCTTTTATGGAAATACTCCCACAATTCTGATCTAATTAACACCAGATTTTTAGCTCACTCTACTACATGTCTACTGCTGCGGAAAAGATTCTTAGTTTGGATATATTCCTTTTAGTACCATTAGTGGTTGTTTCAGTTAGCCACTTTTTGCAGGTATGTGTGCTAAGCTTTTAAAATCTTTGTTTTTCACAGGTCATAGAGAAGAGATACTTTTTAAGAGAAGGTAATCAGGTTGGTATCTATCTTTTCTTGATAAAATAGATTCTTAAATTTAGATAGGTGATTTCCAAATTTAAGTTCAGAAGTAGTTTTAAAAAGTTGGGAAAAGCCCTTTGTAGGCACAAGCAACTGATTTCCTTCTATCCTGTTAAATACAAAAGGGGAAAATCAGAACAAAGGGAAAATAAGGATCTAGGAAACAAGAATAATCTAGAAATAAGATTGTGTTATAAAATAGAAGAAGAAAATAATTTGCTTGGGACTCCAAGAGTATACATTCAGGGTCTGTCACAATACAAATAATTTATATAAAAGTCTAGTAGGTATTATGAGATTTACCTTCATTCTTTCTGATTTAGATGACACTATCACCAATTTGTTGGCAAATGTTTTCCATTTTGGTAAAATTTATTTTTATTATTTAATCTGTGGCTTTCTGAGTAAAACCTCAGAAAGCTGGTTTTTTTTTTAAGGAACAACACGCTGCCATACAGAAATGGAAAAGAAGGGAAAAATTACTATTAGTATTTGAACTTTTATTGCTTGAGACTTAATATAATTATCTTTCTTGCCTACAGATTCCAGGCTTTCCTGATCGGAAAAGATTTGGGGCAGGAACATTAAAGAGCCTTCATTATGACTGAGTTACACTCATCCTTTGGAAGAGTGAGCAAGCAGTGGCAGTTTTTCACAGCTTTCCTCTTGCTGTGTTCAGTTATTACCATCACAGCCTTTTAACGAAATCATCTTAAATGCTACCCTTCAGCCTCACCCTTTAATGGAAAAATGATAGGAAGTGACAACACAGGAGGTCCAAACTTTGTCCCTGTTCTCTGTGTTCCTTACCTTTCTGTCCCTGTGTATAGATTATGTAAAAGCCTTGTGGAAATACGAGATGTTGTCAAAATGATGCAGTAAATGAGCAATGACAGTGTACTGCAGAGAAAATTTACTCTTGCCTACAACGGGAGGGTTTTTACGGGTCTGTACTTTTTCCCCACACATTGCTGAAAGCTTAATTAAGTACTTCAAAAATGTATCTCTATTGTTTTACCTTCTTGAGGGCAAAGGCCTTGTTAACCAGCCCTGAGTTGTCCACCCCAAACAATCTTTGTCATTTTCAAAGATGCAAGATCGTGTTATTTGTCTCCACCCTCGTCACACACAGGAATGCCTAATAATATCTACCCTTGGCTCCCTCTTCTCTCCTTTGCAAATGGCTCAGTGACTGGAAGAGGTGGACTGATAGCCAGAGTTAAATATAAATACAAATTAATAATACATAGAGAACAGCAATACCAGAAAAAAAGAATTCTGGTAAAATGATGTGAAAAAATTGGCAACTCCCTCACTCTTAAGGTTGTTGCTGTATGCAGTCTAGGCTTTCTGTTTGGAAATAGGTAGGGCAAAATCTAATACCTGCGCAAGGGCAATGAGAGAGATGTACAGCCTCCTCTCCATTTTTTTTTTTTAAGGAAAAGTCAACTCCTGAAATGTCCCTTAGCTATAGTCAGAAAACTAAGAATATTATTCTTGTGTCAACAATGTATTTATGGAGAGAAGTAAAAATAAGTTCCACAGCAACACATTTACATGAATTATGAACTAGGATTCTTGGATTTCATAATGACTCCAAAGCTTTTTGGGGGTGGGGTGTGTGTGTATGTGTGTGTGTGTGTGTGTGTGTCCATAATTGTTCATCATTTTTTTAATCTATCTTTTTGCTTGCTTAATCTTCTCTGCCCCAGTTCTTCCTTAGTATGTGAATTTGATTTCTAAAAACAATTTATTCAACACTTTATCACTCATATTCTCTCTCTGGCTCTGCTGCAGGTCTGCACTCCTGATTTTGCTCCATACTTTTAAATAATAATAATAAATATACAGTTTTCATTTCTCATTTAAAACCTAGGTAGAAAACACCAAATTCACTTTCTATTCCATTTTAATTAGGTTTCAGAAGTACCTTGGAAATCAAGGTATGCTGCAAGAGAATATTAAAATAAGAATGTTAGAGAGTCCTTTTAGAAAGGCAGTCTTGGGAATTTGGAAAAGGATTTTTTTTTTAATTATACTTTAAGTTCTAGGGTACATGTGCATAACGTGCAGGTTTGTTACATATGTATACTTGTGCCATGTTGGTGTGCGCACCCATCAACTCGTCATTTACATCAGGTATAACTCCCAATGCAATCCCTCCCCCCTGCCCCCTCCCCGTGATAGGCCCTGGTGTGTGATGTTCCCCTTCCCGAGTCCAAGTGATCTCATTGTTCAGTTCCCACCTATGAGTGAGAACATGTGGTGTTTGGTTTTCTGTTCTTGTGATAGTTTGCTGAGAATGATGGTTTCCAGCTGCATCCATGTCCCTACAAAGGACACAAACTCATCCTTTTTTATGGCTTTTTTAAAGCAGCTTTCATCAGCTAGACTGTTCTCCAGCCTTTCTTTACTTCCTCTTTGAAAGGACATAGCCCTGGTTTCTTTTTGACACAAAGGAAAGCTATGCAAATCATGATCTATGTGTAGAATTGGTCACAAATGTGTTGTGGGATAGGCTATAGAGTTGGGAAGTGGAAACGAAATGCTACACAGAGACCTAACCCAACTAAAGCTCTTTGTATTTCTCCTTTAAGAAATAAATCAAATGCCTTCCTTCCCTATGCTTTCTTCCTCTTTCTTTTAATTTAAAAAAAAAAATTCACCCTGATTTTTTTATTTTCTATCTTATTTAAAAAATAAAAATAGGCCAGGTGCGGTGGCTCACCCCTGTAATCCCAACACTTTGGGAGGCCAAGGTGGGTGGATCACTTGAGATCAGGAGTTTGAGACCAGCCTGGCCAACATGGCAAAACAGTGTCTCTACTAAAAATACAAAAATTAGCCAGGCCTGGTGGCACACACCTGTAATCCCAGCTACTCGGGAGGCTGAGGCAGGAGAATCACTTGAAGCCGGGAGGTGGAGGTTGCAGTGAGTCAAGATCATGCCACTGCACTCCAGTCTGGGTGACACAGTGAGACTCCATCTTAAATAAATAAGTAAATAAATAAACCATTGCTGATGACTCCAGGGTCAATCTGGAAAAATTAACAGTATTCCTTAACTCTATTTCTTTCTGCAGCCAAGCTTGATTCCTTGAATTAAGGTTTTCCAAGAAAAAAATAGTTTTTAATAATCTAAGGTAAATTTGTTTCAATTATTAGCAGCAGCATAATAAGGCTTTTGCACAAATGAATGTTATTAGCTAGAGTTCTTCAAAAAAGCATGAAGCATAATTTTTGCTAGGACTTCTTGAGAACTATTGGTAAAAAAATGCTTTTAGATAATAAACAAGTATAAATGTCAAAATATTTTTTAAAAAGTGTAATTGGCTGGGTGCTGGCTCACGCCTATAATCCCAGCACTCTAGGAGACCGAGGCAGAAGGATCACTTGAGCCTAGGAGTTTGAGGCTGCAGTGATTCATGACTGCACCACTGCTTTCCAGCAGCGATAGAGTGGGACTCCATCTCTTTACATATGTATATCTTACTCTCTTGATGGGACAAGTTGGTAGCAATAAAGATTTTTTTTTTTTTTCCTGTTGTGATTTCAGTGTCTAACCAATGAAGGTGACCAGATGTGAAGGCGTATCTATGACTACTCCTCTGTCCCTTGGGTGGATAAGACTTAGTTGGAATCCAACTAAAGATTTGGGCTGGTCTCTCCATCTTAATGTTGATGGGATTCAGGACACACAACCCCAAAATATTGTACCCTGATATTTGAGAAAACTGCAGAAGCAAGGTTTCTCATACCTTCCTCTTACCCCTTCTCCCCTGAAGCAGGCCATAAAACCTAAGTGACTGTCCCCTGAAGTAGATCATAAAACCTTCATTCCATAGGTACCCTATATCCTCACAGATACAGAAATACCAAGAAGAATCTGGACAAATAGGACTTGCTAAGTTCTCCAGTTTATTACCATTAGATTATGTCCTTTTGTCCTCTGATTATACTTCTGCATGAGACTGTACATAAAAATACGCAAGTTTTTCTGTTTCTTTTGTGTCTTCATTTCTGAAGATTCCTGTCATGTAAAACTTACGGTAAATAAATTTGTGTGCTTTTCTCAATAATCTGTCTTTTGTTATAGGTGCCTCATTTGTGAACCTAGTGATGTGTGAAGAAAGAAAGCTCTTCTTCCCTACAGTGCTCTAAGAAAAGCTATTTCCAAAAGAATTGATCCATATTAGTTTTAGCTCGGGTTCTTAGAATTCCTCAAACTTAAGGCATTCATGATATAATCCAGGTGCCCTGACACTGTTGTTTTTCTGTTCATTCTGAAAATGGACTTCATGGAACTGATGTGCAGGGACATCAGACTGAGGCGAAGAGCACCTAATTGCTCCCGTAATCAGAGTTTCTGAGTCCTCATTTCGATAGTGTACAAGAGGAATTTGGGCATTTTTGCCATCAACCACAGGGTGTTTTCTCTCTCTCTCTCTCTCTCTCTCTCTTATTCTAATTGCCAATGTTTAAAAATTGGAGCTTCATCTTATCTTGAAAAATCAGCTAGCCTACTTTATTCATTTACACTTCCTCGTCTGTTGGCATTTGAGTTGTGATAATGCCTAATTTACAAGATTGTTCTTGTGGAATTCGATATGGAAAAATCTAACAAAAGCAGGCACTCAGTATATGTCTTCCCCTTTCTGAACACTACTAGTCATGAAGCTGCTACCTGCCAATGACCAAGGAGAGCGGCCAAGATGAAGAGCAAGGGAGTCATAGAGGAGGTGGCTGGAAAGTAATCCCTTGGTCTGTTTTAGAAGTATAAAGGCATTAGGAAACAAAACTCTTAAAGAATGTATAAGAAAACTAAATGTACTTTAAGAAATTAAAAGGAGCAGTAGGAAACATCTCAGTTTGCTCTAAGTGAAATGTTTCAGGCTCTGAATGATTCAACCAAGAACCTGAGCCCATTCCTGGGAAGCACCTGCAGAAAACTGATTCTGGTCCCGGTCCCTGTGTTCAGGTGGCTGTGTGTAAACATCTTACCCCAGTGTAAACATCTGCAGCTGGTAAACATCTGGGGGTGTTCTCACTGCTCTCCAGGAGACTCAGCACTGCCCTGTTCCTTCCTAACCTGAGTCAGGACTGAGCAGAGAATCCTCCACCACAAACAGCAGGCACTATCTGCCACAGTTCCTTTCCCTGATAGCTTCAAATTCTCTGCCTTTTGAAATAAGCCTATTTTTAACTGGAACAAATAATTGGTCAATCTGTACCTCAGGTGAAGAGGAGTGAAGCCTCTGCAAACACTTAGGAACAAACTGTAAAAACCAAAAGCATTTGTGTAACCTGTTCAATAAGCTTGTTGGACTTTGTCCCTATGTATGAGTTAGGCAATTCTTTCAGCTAGTTTGAGTGACACGCTGACCAGTGAAGCGCAGTGAAGCAGTGGGAACCAGAATATCCAAAGAGTGGTTTGAAGGAGAAAGAAGCATTGTGGCTTTATATCCTCTGGGCCTGGGTTTCCTGAAGTCATCATACATAGAAGACAGAAAAAATGGCTGAGTTAAAGGTAAGAAACCAGCTGGCAAGTTTACTGTGCCTTCTTCAGCCAAAATTTATGGAAGCTTCTGAGAACTCCAGGGTATCAGAGTTGGAAAAGACTGGGAGAGGCCCTGGTTCAAACCCCTGTGTTCAGAGGCTTCACTGTGGTGTCTGGGCATGGCTGGGGCTGAAGAACAAGGGAAGGGTAACAAAGGAAAGAAATGAAGCTCTTATTGGTCATCCCTTGCCTTTGTTCGTTTCAATTATTGTCTTGGAAATCTGTAGACATCCTAAGAGCTCCCCTCCACTACGGACACACACGTTTCTCACCATGTCTCTTTCCCACCCCCTGCTCTGACACCTTCCCATTGCTACAGCTTCATGGACCACTTCCAGTGACCAGTTAGATATGCTTAATCTATTTAGTTAATTGAGGCTCTGAATCAGCCATCAGCCCTTGGCCAGTAGAAGCCCTAGCACCTCCTCTAGGAAATCATTCTTCTTTTAAGTAATGCGCAATTGAAAAGTATGTGTGGGTTACATGCTGTTAGGCGCTAGGCATTTTAACTATGAATTAACTCATAATCCTCAAAATAAATCTGGCGTGTAGAGAGAGGTTCTTGTTTCAATTAGAAAAGTAATGCTTGGAGAGACTATGATTTGCCCAACAAGGTCACTGCCAGTAGATGACTGGATTAGAACCAGGGTATGTTTGAATGCAAAGTCTAGGCTCAAAAAGGGGCCTCAGTGGCTCCTACTAGACTGGTTATCTTAAGGCAAGGAAAACAGAATATGTACCTAATATCTGAAGCCATGCCTAGCGCCCAGCCCAGGCTTGCATCAGTGCTCAACACATGCATGTGTAACTGAACAGAACTGCCCAGAACCTTGGCTCAGGCCTAGTGGGCCAGACCACCCCACAACAGACATCTTCCCAGAATGCAGGGTTTGAGAAGTGCCCTAATGCCCTCTAACTGATGCTGAGTTTGAAGAATCCATCAGTTAAAGGGAGGTGTTTCTGAGTTTGAAGAATCAAACACCTTCCTATTTGATAGGAATCCTGAAAACACTCAACACCAGAGTGAAAGACTTTGGTTTTTTATCTTTATGCCTGACTAAAAGTTAACTCTCATTCTTTCATTCAGCAAATATTTTGTGCTAGTGCATGATACTGCAGATTAATATAGTAGAGGAACTGAGTCTGGGCTAGGAAGAGTCAAAAGAAACTTCCTAAAGGAGCCTGTACCTAAACTGAATCTTAAGAGAGAAGTAGGAACTGGCCAAGTGAAGAAGGATGGGGTCTGGAGGAAAGAGTGAGTGCAAAGGCACAGCACATACAGAATGCCTGCATGCTCTAGAATCCAAAACTCTGTCAGCCAAATTTGAGTTGATGGAAGGACAGCCAAATTGAGATATCTAGGTGGTGGTTGGATTTCAGGGGAGTGGGCAGAGCAAGGGGAATAGAACTGAGAGTCATGATGTCAATGGTAGGAGTTGAAGTCTTGGAAGAAAGAGTAGATAGAAACTTTGTTTTCTGATGAACATTCTGTGAGGAAGTTCAGCAGGGGTTGGAAACATCTTTACCATTTATAAATAAATTATATATAAAATCTTATCCTGCTGTCATGTTTAAGCAACTTATTATGCACAGCACCAGGACATCAATGTAAATTGCATGCCAGTCTTTGCTCTCAGTTTCAAAGGCATTCTTCCCCGCCTGCTGTCTAATCTTTACAAGGAAAGGTTAACTCCAGAGGTCAGGAATCCGAGCACAGAAAACCGGATTGCATCATATTCATTCTACTCAATAAACATTACATAATGTTTAAACTGTTTCTCATCTTTTATTTCTTCATTTTAATGAATATGTCAACACAAAGCCATAAATGAAATCACATTTACACAAAAGTACAGCTAGGGGAAGAAAATTCAAAAGATACAATAATAAAATTAAATTTAAAATGAAATACCCTGTGTATCTGAGTAAGTTGCTTAGCTTCTCCCAACCTTGGTTTCCTCATTTCTGAAACAAAGAGCTTGCTTAACATTCAGGCTCCGAGCCCCACCACCAAATCCTTGATTCGCTGGCTCTGGGTTTGTATGTAACAAGCTTCTGGAGTGATTCTAATGATTAGCCAGAGACGGAGCCTGCTATTCTACACAACTGATTTCCTGTTGCTGCTGTAAAAAATTACCACAAATTTATTGGCTTAAAACAGCACAAATTTATTATCTTGAAGTTGTGGAGGTCACAAGTCTGAAATCAGTTTCACTGGGGTAAAGTCGAGGTGTCAGTGTGGCTGGTTTCTTCTGGAGACTCTATGAGAGATTGTGTTTCCCTGCCTTTTCCATGGATTCTGTTTCCTCTTCTAGAGGCTACCGACATTCCTTGGTTTGTAGCCTCTTCCTCTATCTTCAAAAAAATGTATCTCTCTGCTTTTGTAATCACATCACCTTTTCTCCTCTTATAAGTCAAATCTCCCTTTGCCTCCCTCTTATAATGACACTTGTGATGACATTTAGGATACACCCAAATAATTAGGATATCTCTCCATCCCAAATTCCTTAATCTTATATGCGAAAGTCTGTTTGGCTAGAAAAGGTAACATTCACGGGTTTTGGGGTTAAGCCATACGTATCTGTCAGAGCGAGCCATTATTCAGCCTACTGCAATAATCTGCAAGTTCTCTTTACAATCTATGTTCTATGTTCCCATCAAGGTTAACTAGAAATATTAGACTCTTTTTCCACAGAAAAAAAAAACGTAGCAGTAGTTTCATCTCTCCCCTGACTCCTCTCTCTTTCCTTCATGCCCAGTAAGAGGAAGTGAGGTGCACCATCTGTTCATCTCATCAGGTGTTACCTAGAATCAGAGTCAGGAGAAAGCACCTCATAAAACTACTCTGACAAGTAAACCATATCCTGGGGACCAGGTGAGAATTAAAAAGCTGTATACTGGTAAGCTGCCAAAGAACTGATGGTACTAAAGTCACATGGAGCTCAGAAATTTATTCTTGCATTTAGAAAGTATGCATATAATTCTCTTGAAAAGAAATGAAATCATATTTTTCTGTCGGATCAAATTATTCAGAAATCTGAACTGTAGAAAACATACAAACACACTTGCTTAATGTTAGGTTTTTAGTCTTATTTTTGTACCCAATATACTTTTACATAGGCACTGAACCAGCTGGAAATGAATGCTTGGATTTTCGCAGCTGATAAAAGCAGAGTTCAGATTCTGTCCTTGAGCTCAATGTCTGGAGAAAGCAGCTGCGAATACTGCTTCCTTAATTCAGATGCCTTTGGCAGTGAGGGACATGGCATTTTAAAGCTGTAATAAACTCATCTGTAATTTTTCTCTCAGGGGATCAGAAAAACCAATCGATTTGATAGTGACTCAGCAGTTTTCACCTTCCTCTTCAGCCAATGCACTGCAGCTAAGATTGAGAAACGGATTCAGAACTCACACCTCTTGGTGCTTGGTGGCTCCCTTCCAAACCACCAGCTGTTCTTTCTACTTTCTTTTCTATTTTGTAAAGCACAGTCTGAATCAAGGGCTTCAGAAACATATATACTAGCTCTTGTTGCAAACACATAACCCTGAACTCTCTTCTGAGGCAAGCAGTTACAAAGAATGGGGAAGGTTAATGAATAAATCCACCGGTGCCTGCCAGAAAGCTCAGCTGTACTCCAGCCTTCTTTCCTCTCTTGCAGAGAGAAACAATGCGGCAGTTGAACAAAGCGAAGGCACTGTAATGCCCAGTGGCTTCAGTCATAGGCTGGTCTAAAATTCCATTTCACAGAATTGAAGATAATTTGGGGTTATTACCAATTCTCAGCAGCTCAAATTCAATCCCGTTGATGGTGAGCATGGGGTTCATTTTGAGAGAAGAAAATTGGGTGCAGCGGAGAATCAGAATGCTGGATGGCCTCTGCCATTTCCCCAAAGATATCCTAACTGCATGCTGCTGCTTTTAACAAATCAGTATATAGCTTAGTATTTTTTGTGATGACAAATTTTCAAATATGCAAAATATTGAGTCTGAAGGCAAAAAGAATCATTTCACTTCCATTGCTTCCCAGGTCATAACATTCACATCTGATATTTCTTCCAAATATAGACTGTTGTTGGCCTGATCATCACTCACACATCCAGGCTTGTTACATCTCCATGCCGCTGAGCACTCTGGAGGGCCTACCCTTCACCTGCTTCCACCCTTCTTATATCTCTTAAGGAGATGTGTTCAGATGGTGGCATTTCACTCGCTGAGCAAGACTGCACTTTCCTTATCCTGGGCTAAAATCAATTGGTATTTAAGTTAGAGCAAAGAGGCTTCTAACCCTATTTACAGCAGCACACATACACTTATATTAGAATTGGCTTTAAGTGAAAAACTCAATCAATCAATAGATTTCCACTGATTACTTTCTCTGACCCAAGACTGCCATAGTCCCACCTTCATGCAGCTTCTAGGCTAGCAAAAGAGCCAGACAGTGCACAAGAACTCTCAAGTGTGTTGAGTGTTGTAAGAGTAAGTTTCAGGAGCTCCCCGTGACTTAACCTTGCTGAGAAACCTTTTAACTTTTGTTTCCTCTGGGAGTGAAGTGAAGAGATGGCAATCAGAGTAGGTTTCATTGTATCATTGTGAAAAGATTCTGGGCTAGCATGTCTCCTGAAGGCCACCCATATCTTTAAACTTTATTTTCATGCATTCACACAAATATAGATGTGTTCCATAGGTGAGGCAGATAGCAGAGGCTTCTGCCTGCAGCAAGGCTAGTTTGCAGAGGGTTTTGCTGTCAGGGGTTGGACCCACACATCTCTTCCTAGATGGTTTTTCTTTTTTTTCCAGAGTTTGAAAGGGAAATGGAGTCTCAAGTTCAGGGAGGTTACAGTGTAGACCCATAAATCAGCTAAGTACAGCTAAAGGTGGAGAGGTCTATGCAATATCCAGCACTCTTCTGATTAATTGGAAGTCTTCAAAATTCACAGAAAGCATATTGTCTTCCCTAAATGATTCATATGTCAAGACACAGTAAAGATATTATACATAGAACGTCATACACAAACGTATGTCTATATAGAAATTCTTACATTTGTGGACTGCCAACTTTGTGAAATGCTCTTTAAATCCTACTAATGGTGGCATTTATGTCTTTGTCACATACAGTACATTTCTGGATTTGGGAATGAGTGTGCTTCAGAGGATCCTCGCTGCCCAGGTTCCCTGCCAGAAGGACAGGTACAAGCAAATAACGTGCTTAGAAGAGCTCTGAATCCTATTCCTGGATCACTAGCTTTCAGGCCAAAGTGCCTCCACCCACTGTGGCTCTTCCAGTCTAGCCTGTGAACTGTCTAGGGGTTTCCCAAGTCATAGGGGCAATGAAGATACAGAGCAATGACAATACAAAGAGCAGCCAATCCAAACTAGTAAAATTAACTGTAGGGTTTCCAGTAGGATTCCCAAAATCCAGGGTTAAGGGGAATTCCTCATATTCCCCTTGAGCACCATGGATGTGACAATTATGAGAAAATAACAAGATGCTTTAACATGTATGCACAAAGATGTTCATACTATTGCTGGTTAGAAAAGCAACAACACAGTAAACAAAATATTTTCAAAACTTTTTGAAGGCTGTATCATGGCATAAAAAATCCTCATGGTATAATGTTTTCTTAAAAAAAAAAAAAAGAAAAAAAAAAGCGTGATTATTACAGGATTATACGTATCATAGCGTCACAATTTTGGAGGTTAAGAATGCGAGGAAAAATACCAACATGTTAACACTCTGTTATATCTGGTTGTGAGATAATGGGTGATATCATATAGTTTATACATTTTCTACAATAAGTATATATTACTTTTATAATCGGGGGGCAAGTCACATCAGAAGTCGTTACAAGAAACATATTGGGTTGGACATGGTCATGTGCAGTGGCCCAGAGTATCCCCATCCCCCTACTGAGTTGGTTGGTGGGAAGGTGGGATGCTTTTCAGATGGGAGTAATATTGTTTATTGCATCCTTTATTTCAGAATAATCCTCAGGTCTGCCCCTACAATCTCTACGCTGAGCAGCTCTCAGGATCGGCTTTCACTTGTCCACGGAGCACCAATAAGAGAAGGTACAAGGATTAGATGAATTCTGACCTGTAGACTGTGGGAACTATGACAGGGACTTTGTGCTGCCTCCTTCCCCTGGGCCACAGCCTCCCAGAGTTGCCCAAGATCCTGCTTCTTATAGGCTATGGTCTGGGTCTTAGTCGGAAGAGAATGGACTTCCTCCCAGCTAGCACCAAGTGACTACTGGAAGAAGGTGAAGGAAAACTGCACAGAGCCGGGAAAATACACATGTCCAGTTCCATTTACAAATTATCTCTTATAATATTCCTAATAGTTTGGCCTTCTTCTAAAGACTGTCCTGTTGAGTTTTGGCTTGGGGTTTACCTGTTTTGGTTTTGTTTTGTTTTATAATGACAAAGTCACAATTAGGGAAGATTCAGAGCAATATCTCTCTCAGCTGACTAGAGGTATGGTCTTTGCAAGAAAATGTTGGGTAATCCAAGCTTGGATAGTTAAAAGTCATGTATTAAGGCCCACTGTGGTTTGAATTAATAAGGTTTTTATTCTGGAATTTGCCTTTGCTAGAAACCATCATATTCATTAACATAATATGCCATGTTCCATGTTTGCTCTAATGCTACATCCAGGTCAATGAACATGATCCCTTGATTAACTCAGGTTGGATGCAGTATGTGTTATAGTTTTGGCAGGCAGTAAGTGTTGTGATTTAAACAAATGGTGTCTAATTATAGAAATTTTAGGCTAAGGCATTTGTGAAGAGGAATGCTGCTGATACCAGTGACTTGGAGAGAAGGGCTTGTGGTCTTGTACTGCTTATTAGGGCAGCCTGGGTTTATCTCCACAGATCCTTCTGAGAAGCAAATGAGATAGTAAGTACAAAACTATAATGGACCAAACAAATGATAAAGATTGCACGGTTTAATCATGTCCACCCTGGAGGCACGCCCCCTGAGTATAAATCCTGGCTCCTTTTCCAGCTGTGTGGCCTTAGGTAAATCATCTGCCCCCTTGGATCCTCTAGTTCTTCATTCGTAAAACAAAGATAATTATAGTACCTATTTCATAGCTGTGGTGAGGATTAAAAGAAAGGATGTGTGTAAAGCACATTATCTTAGCTTAGCACATTGCCCGGTACATGGTTAGTGTTCAGTTAATGCTAGTTATTGTCATAATAACTATCATTAAGTATTGCCATCATAGCAGAGTTTCTGCCTCATTTCCAGGGTATCTCTAGGAGGCTGTCAAGAGAACTGGGCATGATATATGGCAGGTGCTATGTTACAATGTCAGTATCAACAGTGCTTTTCTCTCAGTAGGTATGTGAGTGGAAAGAGGAAGAGATAGAGAAAGTTTTCTATACATGTCAAAAATCAGGGGACAATTCCATCACTATTTAATTCTCTCTCTCTCTCTCTCTCTCTCTCTCTCTCTCTCTCTCTCTCTCTGTAAGCCCAAATAGACAGGGTAAGGTAAGCACACAGATAATTCTGTCCATTCTAATTTATGACAACCTGGCCTCTATGACTATATTCTTGACTTTGTGGCCCTTTCCCTAACAGGCCACCTGGTCTCCAGATTCTGCTGCCTGTCCCCATTATTCAGCAATATCTTCAGCCAGCAGGAGTTGAGCTTTGTTCCAGGAGGCTGAAAAGGAGCTGTTGGCATTTCATTAAGAAGCTGGCACTGTTCCCTGAATCAGAATTAAATCTCTGTTCAGGGCAATGTAGTGCTGCCTGGGGAGTTTTATAAACTCAGCTAAAAAATAAGGGATATTAGGTATGGCTCACCCATCTCTTTAGAAGAACTCTTCAAAGATAGCCACAAGAATTGTGTAGAAATGCTTTCCACTCAAAATCTCCAGTGGGAAGATGGGACCAGTCCCATCCAAAAGTAGGCCAGCCTGAAATTCTTAGTTACTACTCATCTGAACCACAGCATGCAGGGCCACCACAAAACTATTAAAGAGTCTGTCTACCTACCTACCTACCTACCTATCAAGGATTAATTTTTATCAGATTAGCTAGTTGATTGATCCCTTGGGTCTCGAAAAGGCAAGAGTGAGGAGAGAGAATTTGGAAAATGTGGACCGTGATAAAAATTCAGAAGATTAAGAGAAGAAAGGCAATTTAACAAATGTCTAATAAGCCAGCACCTCCTGTATGCCAGGCATTTTTGGTACACAAACTCTTTGAGTCCTCACAACAATCTTAGGAGACAAGGATGAAGAACATAAGGTTCAGGAAGTTTAGTAACTCTCCCAGAATCACACAGGTGGTTCCAAGACATACACACATGCTCTGAACTTCATATACTGGGAGCTGGAGAGGCTTAGTAAGACCAAGGTCCGAGGTCACGTCATGAAGAGATGGAGTAATCAAATGGAAACTAAACAGATGTAGCCCATTTTCCCCCAGATGGCTCAATGTTGGGCCAGGCCAACTCAACCCACTGAGATAGACTGTCCTTGGGCTTAAAAGGGCCAGAGCCTGTTGATTCAGGTCTGGTCTTCCATTGTCCTTCTGTATTTTGTCAGTGTAGTAGCCTCTGAAAGGACTTGGGTCCCTCTCAGTGAGTTTCAATGTCCTTTCCAGCTTCTGGAAGGTTCTCATCCTGGTGTCCTTTAGGATTCCTTTACAGAGTCTTCTTCCCTTCCTGAAGCCTGAGATCTGGTCCTGGTAGAGAGGACACGTTTTAAAAAGAAAAGAAAGAAAAACAAATAAAGGCATAAATGTACTACAATAAAACGTGGACATACAGTCTTAAAATTTTGGAGTACAGAGGCGTTAATTTATTTTTATTTTATTATAAGTTCTGGGGTAAAGGTGCAGGATGCGCAGGTTTGTTACATAGGTAAGTGTGTGCCCTGGTGGTTTGCTGCACCTATCAACCCATCACCTAAGTATTAAGCCCAGCATACATTAGCCATTTTTTTAAGCTCTCCCTCCCCCAACTCCCACCCCTCAACAGGCCCCAGTGTGTGTTATTCCCCTCACTGTGTCCATGTGTTCTCATTGTTCAGCTCCCAATTATGAGTGAGAGCATGTGGCATTTGGTTTTCTGTTCCTGCTTTAGTTCGCTGAGAATATTGGCTTCCAGTTCCATCCATGTCCCTGCAAAGGACATGATCTCATTCCTTTTTATGGCTGCATAGTATCCCACGGTGTATATGTACCACATTTTCTTTATCCAGTCTATCATTGATGGGCATTTGGGTTGATTCTATGTCTTTGCCATTGTGAATAGTGCTGCAATAAACATATGTGTGCATGTATCTTCATAACAGAATGCTTTATATTCCTTTGGGTATATACCCAATAATGGGATTGCTGGGCCAAATGGTATTTCTCATTGTTGGTCTTTGAGGAATCACCACACTGCCTTCCACAATGGTTGAACTAATTTACATTCCCACCAACAGTGTAAAAGCATTCTTATCTCTCCACAGGCTCTCCAGCATCTGTTTCTCTTATAAATTAGTATCAAAAAGACAGACCCAATAGAAAATGATAAAGGACTTTTACAAGTAATTCATAGAAAATCTGTAGAGAGCCAATCAACAAATGAATAGACTTGTTTTTTGGAAATATTTTGTATTTTATAACTCCTAATAAAGGAAATACAAAATAAAATAAGATACTATTTTTCACCTAAAACACTAAAATTTTTAGCAATACTCCAGATTTGTGAAGATGTGGGTGACCAGGCACTCACACATGGTTAGTATGATAATAAAGTATTAAAATGATCTGACAATTTTGCTTAGAAATGCATTGGATGTATCTGAAAGAATATGTAAGAAATATATAAGAAAATCATTAAGCTCTGATGCCTCTGAGGAATAGCCCTGAAGAAACTGAAGGAGGAAGGCACCATTTACCTTTCAGGACTTTTTTAATTACTTGAATTATTTTTACCATTGGCATGTATTACTTTTATGATTTTAAAGGAGAAAATTGATTTATTATTTCAAAAATAACAACGATACCACCCATATTCTCTCAGGCTACATAGAACTCGTTGTTCTTGCCTTCCAGAGCAGGGACTAGCATCCTATGAGACACATAAGCTGATGTTTCTCTATGGATTTTCCTACACAGATACCCACCAAGGTACTTCCCCGCTTCCTTGCAGTTTTTAGAAAAGACAATTCTTCATTTTTTGGCCGCATGGAAATAAGCATGAGTCAAAGTCAATTTGAAACATGATGGGTGGAGTGAAAAGGTGAGAAGAGGCCAGGGCTGTGGGCAGCAGATGGCCATTAAAAAGTAATGCCGTGACATTGCTTCACAGCTTCACACATTAGAGTCCACAGGTCGTTGTTGACTTGCGTGTCTTCCTGATGGTACTGCCTGAGTCATTCTGTGTATCACTTAAAACATTACTCTAAGGCTTGTATATCTCATATGTTTTCCCTCTAGCTGGCTGTATAGGATTCTACCTTCAGTTTCTCACAAGCCCTTTGAATCCATTGATGAAGGCCATGTCACTCACAACTGGGATGAAGTTGATCCTGATCCTAACCAGGTAACCTGGTCCTGTGAATTGAAGCATATCATGTATCCAAAGCCTTGACTAGAAATACCTAAATAGAATACCATGGTCATTGAAAAAAATAGGTAGCTTTTTAAAGCATTATTTTAATAAATGCTAAAGTGTGTCTGTTTTCTGCTCAAACTGGGATGGTGTATTAGTCCATTCTTACGCTGCTATGGAGAAGTAACCAAGACTGGGTAATTTATAAAGGAAATATTTTTAATTGACTCACAGTTCTGCATGGCTGGGGAGGCCTCAAGAAACTGACAATCATGGCAGAAGGAGAGGCAGACACATTCTTCTTCACATGGCAGCAGGAGAGAGACATGTTAAGCGAAAGGGGGAAAGTCCCTTATAAAACCATCATGTCTTGTGAGAACTCACTAGCATGAGAACAGCATGAGGGTAACCATCCCCATGATTCAACTACCTCCCACTGTGAAGGTCCCTCCCACAAAACATGAGGATTATGGGAACTATAATTCAAGATGAGATTTGGGTAGGGACACAGCCAAACCATATGAGGTGGGAATTTTGGAGCTGATTGATTGATTATGTATATACATATTGTTAAAAGAAAAACCTTAGACAAATCTAATTTAACAGAATTTAATTGGGTAAAGGCCAATTCACAAATTGTTCTACCTGAGCCAGGATAGGTTCTGAGAGACTCCAGCACAGATACTAGTAGAAGACGATTTATGGACAGAAAAAGGAAAGTGATGTACGGAAAACAGAAATGAGGTACAGAAATAGCCAGATTGATTGCAGCTCAGCATATGACTTTCTTGAACACAGCTTTAACGGTGTGTCACAATGATTGGCATAAGAGTAGGTTACACATCCAATTAGGTTATGGTTCACTATGTATGGAGAAACCTTTAGGCAGAACTTAAAATATGTAAGGAGGCAGATTTAGGATAAATTTGATTAACAGCCTGCATATGTGTGTGTGTGTGTGTGTGCGCGCACGCATGTGTGCACGTGCACACATAAACTTGTAACTTTCTAGCCTAATGGCATATAGATGGGCACAGGAGTAACTCGGACTTAGTAGAACTGCTCAGGTGAATTGGATGAGTGGAAATTATGTAGGTTGGTCAAAATATCTACATGCTCATAGGTTTTTTTGGTTAATCTAAACTTACCACGAAATACAGAAAACACATTCAATACTGATATCTTTGAAGAGAGGCCTTTGAAATCTGGCATAGGGGTGAGAGTCTTGCTGTCTGGGCTGAATTATGTAAGTCTATTGTGGTCACAGATCACTATCACAGTCTCTTCAGACCTAGGACTTCCATTCTTTTTCTAGGTGTTTCCTCTTTTTGGTCTAGTAATAGTGGGCTTTTTCTCTGCTTCCAGAGTATATAAGATAGAATGAGACAGAACCAGTACTATAGCAATGAGATAGACCCAGTGCTATAATGGACTGAGCTCTCTTTTTTTTTAACCTTCTGAGAACCCCAGTGTATTGCCTTTGTCCCTGAGTTTAGGTACATGTCGCTGATAATAGGTATGTAAGGCAGGAAGAAAAACAGACCTGGGTTTGCATCCCTGCCCCCCTACTTACTAGCTGTGTCTTAAGCTATGATGTTTCAACTCTAAAATGGGATGATAACATCTACCTTGCAGTGCTATTGTGAAGATTATGAGAGAATAGGTGTGAACCTGCTTTGTACAATGCCTGGCATGTGACAGGCAAGAACCATGATTCTGATACAGCTGTTTATATCTACCTGAATTTACATTATTCAGGTAAATTTATTTCTACATTTTATATTATGTTTTACTCCGAAGTCGTCTTCTGCCATCTTTCCCTCCCTCCTACTCTCTCTCTCTCTCTCTCTCTCTCCCTCCCTCCCTCTCTCCCTACCCCCACTTTCCACAGCCCAAGGAAATCTCCTGCTTCTCCTTTGTTTACCAAGACATTTTGTTTATACCTGCAAATATCCCTCCCCTAAGTGCTTAGACTTTTTATAAGACAAAAGTCAAAATAATTTATAGACACTTTTGGTTTCCTGCCCAGTTCTCTCTCTTGTCTTAATTATGGAAATCTCAGCAAAGTAAGCGTCTGCTTGTATGCTACCACCCCTCTCTACCAGGGACAGGAAGGGAGGGAGGCATTTAGGGTGGAAAAATGTGAATTGGTGTTTAAAATATTGTCTACCTCATAGCTGCTTTGAAACTAAGACATTTAGTCTAAATAATGACCCTTAAACTTGCATGAAGTTTAATGCATAAAGCAGACATCCTCCCTGGTCCCTAGCTGGCCTATATGTTGCCTTCAAGCACATTGCAAAATGCAGCCCCTATTCTAACCCCCAATCCCTCAGACTCCGTCCCCGACACAAAGGGGCACAGGCTGGGCATTCAGCTCCTCCCTTTCCCCTTCAGTCGGACAAGGCCCTTGTGCAGGGCACAACCTGGGGACCCTGACTTCACCTCATTCTTGAGTCTCATGTGGGTTCAAGTAATATGGGTATAGTAATTATGTATATAAAGTTAACTGAATGAGGGATTATAAGAAAAGTCCATGGGCAGATTTGGAGAATTTAAATTATTGTTTATTTCTAATAATAAATAATTATTTATTATTATTTTGCTTCAAGATAGCAATCAAATCACTAGTAGTTGACAGAGTAGGCTGGGGAGTTCCAGGGCTCCTCCCTGCTCATATCAATCACAATTGTCTAAGCCTCTTAACCTTAATAAATCTTCATAGATTTGTTTGTAGTTGTGTGGACGACAGTGGAGCCACATTTTTATATAGTTTAATTTGGGTGAGGGATTAGGTTTTAAACCTAACCTTTAAGGAAAATGTGTGATGTGTAATATGCTCAGTAATATTCCTTTATTATATATTATTATTTCCTTGACTATCATTGCCACATTTTATTTAACATGAATACACCCTTTCATAGGAATTATTTTGGAGTTTGGGTGACATATCCAGGGAAGATAACCTTGTTCTAAGAGAATTTTTCTAGCTTTTTTTTTTTTTTTTTTGAGACAAGAGTCTCACTCTGTTGCTCAGGCTGGAGTAAAATGGTGTGATCACAGCTCACTACAGCCTTGACTTCCCAGGCTCAGATGATCCTCCTACCTCAGCCTCCTGAGTAGCTGGGAGTACAGGTATGCACCACAATGGCCGGCTAGTTTTCTGTATTTTTGGTAGAGACAGGGTTTCACCATGTTGCTCAGGCTGGTCTCGAACTCCTGGACTCAAGCGATCTGCCTGCCTGAGCCTCCCAAAGTGCTGGAATTACAGGTATGAACAACTGCACCCAGCTTAGCTTTGTCTGATTATATCAGTAACATATACTTATAAAAACTCAAAAATATTGTAGAAATTAATAAAATATTACTGGAAGTCTCCCATCATAAGTGAGAGTCACATATATAAGTTGTACATGTTAATTCATTATTTCATAAATAGTTGACAGACATTTTGACAAGAAGTCTGAAGCAACTGGATTAAGAAGCTTGAATTAACACAAAGGCATCAAAATAGCTGTATCAGGGCAGGCATGGTGGCTCATGCCTGTAATCACAGCACTTTGGGAGGCCAAGGCAGGTGGATCACCTGAGATTGGGAGTTCGAGACCAGTCTCACCTGAGGTCAGGAGTTCGAGACCAGCCTGACCAACTTGGAGAAACTCCATCTCTACTAAAAATACAAAATTAGCCAGGCATGGTGGCGCATGCCTGAAATCCCAACTACTCAGGAGGCTGAGGCAGGAGAATCGCTTGAACCCAGGAGGCGGAGGTTGTGGTGAGCCCAGATTGCGCCATTGGACTCCAGCCTGGGCAACAAGAGCAAAACTCCGTCTCAAAATAATAATAACAATAATAATAATAGCTGTATTAGAAGTTTCTGCTTGTTTTCTAGTAGACTGTCAGCCCATATTTATTCCCCTTCTCCTCACTTCCCATGTTTCCCATCCTAACCTATGGTTAGAATGGCTTTGCTTTTGTCCTTGAGCTTGTTGCCTTTCTCCTGTTTTGAATTCCCTGAACACTTTCTGTATGGTAGCCACCAAATGAATTTCTTCTCCAATATCTTCCCTGTTCCTTTGAGATCTTGTCTTCACACACACTGGGAGAGATGTGCCTCAGAGTTCAATAGTGTCTCGGTGTCTCTGTGAACACTGGCTCCATCCAGGTAGCAGTTTATGATCTTTCTGACTTGTGACCTCTGTCACCTGCCAACTACTTCTCTTTCCCTGATAAACCCTGGCTGTTCTTGCAAAATCTACCCTTTTGTCTTTTCATTTTTCTTCTTTACACATTAATATCTCTTTCCAATTTTATACTTCATTATTTAACCACAGTATTTTGCATTCATCACTTTCTCCCTCATAACCTCCTCCAAATATGTACTCCAGACTCTCAGCAAGAAAGGCTGAGAAAATTATATTTAGGTACCCCTCTGACAGTCCTTCCCAGCTGAAGCCTGTGTGATAGGCATGTCTTCAGCTGTCATAGACCAAATCCAATATTGCATCAGCCTCACCAAATATCCACATTAGTCATCTCTGGGAATTTGAAGACCTGAGAATTGCCTGATGTATCCTCGTGTGTAACGTTTAGTCCCAAAGACTGCATCATGCAATATGCTGTCATCACTGTCATCCTTGACACCCTCTCAGGAAGACTGGGGGCTGCGCCCCCTAAAGCCTTCATTTTCTTTAGTGTATATTTAATCAGTTATCCCAGAATTAATGTAGCCTCTTTTTGAGTGTATTTAAATTCAGCCTGAGGACATAAATTCAATTCATTATTATCTCACATAGGAAGTATCCCTAATTTTATGTGTCTGCCTCTAATTTCTGAAGTCTCAGAATTTAATGAACTAATCTATATCCATTTTAACCATGATTTTACAGATTTCAGCTGGAATTCCTGAATTAGCATTTCTCTTTAAGGGTCCTTTAAAATTTACTTTTCTTTATTTCATCTCTAACCTCTTGATTGTTGAAAAATCAGAT